CGACCCCCGGGGCGCAGCTGGAGGGCGCGCCCCCGCCCTCCCCTCTGGAGACCCCCCTGGACGCCGCCCGCGCGCGCCGCCCGCTGCCCGAGCCCGCCGCGCGGGGGCGTCCCCTGTGTTAGTTCGGACGCACCAAAGGTCCCCCCGCGGGCGGGCCTGGGGTCCCCCGCACCCGGCCGGTACCCCGCTGGCCCCGGCGCGCTCCTGCCCGCCGCGTGCAAAGCTCCGGGCCTCGCGGCGCGTCCCGAGGCCCCCGCTACCGGGCCGCAAACGGGGCGCCCCCCTCCTCCCGCGCTGCCCAAGCCCGGGGAGCCCCTCTCCGTCGCGCTCTGCCGAGTCCCCCCCGGGCGCTGGTCGCCTCCCCGCCACCTGCAGGGCTCGGGCCCCGTCCGGGCCGCACGGCCGTGGGCTCTGCCGGGCTGGGAAGCCGGAGGCCGGGACGCGAGCGGCGGGGAAAGGGGCTCCGAGAAGCACAAGTCGGAGCTGGCTCCGGACCGGGATGTTGTTGTTCTCAACGCGGTCCGCGCGGGAGCCATAAAAGGCGAGCGGGGCGCGGAGGGCGCCAGAGCGCAGCGCGCACGCCCGGCGAGCGTCGCAGGAGCAGGAGGCGGCGGCGGCGGCGGCGGTGGCAGCGGCAGCAACGGCGCGAGTCCTGCCGGGCGCCCCCCGCCCCCCCTCTCGGCCCCGCGTCCCCGTCCCCGTCCCCCTCCCCGTCCCCCTCGTCTTGCTCCTCACCGGCCCGGCCCCGACCCCAGCCCTGCCGCCCGTCCCCAGGCCCGGCCGCGGCCGCTCCCGCCTGGAGCCGCCGCGCGCCCCCAGCCCCCCGACGCCGCCCCGGCCCCTCGCCTTCCTCTTCCCGGCGCGGCCTCCCGGCTTCCGCGCGCCGCCGGCCACCAACCCGCTCGCCACCATGTCCGTGGAGCTGGAGGAGGCCCTGCTGCTGACGACCGCCGAGGGGACGCCGAGGATGGCGGAGACCAAGCCCGGCGGGGGCGCAGGCGGCGGCGGAGGAGGAGGAGGAGGAGGGGGCGGCGGGGCGGGAGGAAGCGGCGGCGGCGGCGGCGCGACATCGGCGGCCACGCTGGCCCCGGCCGAGAAGCGCAAGAGCGGCCGGAAGAAGAAGAACCAGCCGGGCAAGTACAGCCAGCTGGTGGTGGAGACGATCCGGAGGCTGGGCGAGCGCAACGGGTCGTCGCTGGCCCGCGTCTACGCGGAGGCCCGCAAGGTGCCGTGGTTCGACCAGCGCAACGGGCGCACCTACCTCAAATACTCCATCAAGGCGCTCGTGCAGAACGACACGCTGCTGCAGGTCAAGGGCACCGGCGCCAACGGCTCCTTCAAGCTCAACCGCAAGAAGCTGGAGGGTGGTGGCGGTGGCGGCGACCGGCGCGGGCTCCTCCCCTCGCCCCCGTCTGGCCCCGGCCCGGCCCCCGCGGCGCCCAAGCCCAAGAAGCCCGCGGCGACGCGGCGCGGGGACAGGCAGCCGGGGGCCCGGGGCCCCGCGACGCCGGAGAGGCGCCCGCACAGGAAGGGCGCGGCCGCCAGGAAGGACAAAGGCGTCGGCAAGGTGAAGAAGGCGGCCAAGCCCAGCGTCCCCAAAGTCCCCAAGGGGCGCAAGTGACCGCGCCGGCCCCGCCAGCCGTGTATCCCGGTTTTCGCTGTTTGGACCCCCCCAAGTTCGAACGCGCGTAGGTTGTTGTGCGCGGTCCCCCCTCCCCCCAACGCACCCCCCGACCCCCGATCCCGGCCGCCGCGGGGGGGGTGGGGGAGGGTCTCCGCGCCGCGTCCCGCCCCTCCCCCCGCCCACGTTGTAGCGTTCCGCGTTGTTGTTTGCTTTGGGTTTTTTGAAACGGCCCCGGCGACGCCCCGATTGGCTCCCGGCCTTGGCAACGGCCGTCGCCATGGTTACCGGCCCTCCCCTCCCCCTCCCCGGGCGCCAATGGCCGAGGCCGCCCTGTCCGTCCGTCCGCGCGCCCGGCGGGGGCCGCTGGTTGACCGAGGCCCTCCCGGCTGCCGGGTGCGCGACCGCCGTCGCCGCGGGCTGGGGGGGGAGGGACTTTGCGGCGCGTCCCCTCACTCCGCGGGCCCCTGTTCTGTTTGTTGTTGGGAACAATAAATCGTTGGAAGCTTTGCACCCTCTTCTCGTTTTGTTCTTCCGGGTGGAACGGGGCTGGGCGCGCAGCCGGGGTTGGATCGTGGGGGGAGGGGGGTCCCCGCGCCCCAAGATGTTCCGGAGCCGGGGACCCTCGGCGACAGGCGGAAACTGCGGGGGGAGGGACGGCCGGGTGCGTCCTGGGAGCGGAGGGGAAGGGGGGTCTTTTAAAGTCCCCACGCGGGGGCGGCGGGGACAGGAAGTGCAGCAGGAGGCAGGAGGGCGCGCGCGTTTTGCTTGTCGCCAGCTGTGCGCGAACAGGCGACCGCGTTTTCTCGGGGATCACTGGTCGGGACCCCTCGGGCCCCAGCCAGGAAACTCAACTTTCTGTCCTGGGGGGATGGGGACAGCCTTGCACTGTCACACCAGACTGGGGTCTTCTCCCCAAAGCTCAGTTTATGGTCAGTCTGGTGAGACTTGCTGTGACGGTGACGTGCGACCACGCGTGCGGCGTGACCAGGCGCCGTGACGGGGACAGGGCCCGGACCGCACGCCTGCAGGGCTGGCTGGACGGGCGCTCGCCCCCTCTGAGCCTGGGGGCGAGGTGGGAGTGCAAAGGGGACCCCGAGGATTCCGCGGGGAGGGGCAGCAGGAAGAGGGTGGCTCCCAGCTCAGCGACACCCTGGTGTCCCGCACATGGGATAGTTGGCCATCCAGTGGGGACAACGGGCCGAGTTCTGTTGGGACAGGTGTCCCTAAGAAGGGACAACTGCAAAACACACAGGGAAGGATTTGGGGGGCGCCAGTGGTAGATAGGGAAGGTTCTAGAACGGTGGCTACGGATGCGCGGATGGCCTCCCCCTCCCCCCGCGCCAGAGACTCTGGAAACCACAGGTGGGCAAAGGGCTTTTTGGCAATGGCAGGGGGGAGGGGACGGAGCGCTACTGGGACAGAGTCCCTGCCCTGCCTGCACCCTGCCCCTGTGTACGGGTGGGGACCCCTCGGCCACCCGGGCCACCGGCCACCGCATTCCTTCCCTGAGTCTCTGCCACGCTGCTGGCCGCTCCCTGCTCTCGTGGGCCCGCACGCCCAGGTGCCAGCTGCGGTCCTCCCTGCCCCGTCCTGAGCGCCGAGGACACGGCCGTGGCCAAAAGCAGCCCGGGGGCCTGCCCTGCCCCAGCCTCCCTGACCAGAGTGTGCAGAGGGTGACCGATGCAGGCAGGGGACCCTGTCACCGGGATGGACTGCGGCTGGCTGAGGTCTGGGGGTCAGTGGGGGACTGTGCATCTCTGTGGCCAGCCCATGTCCTGGCCACCTGCTGACCAGTGGCAGCCTCGTCTGCTTGCAGTTCTGACGGGGTAGGTGTGGCAGCCCAGGCCCTGTCCTGCGTTGCCTGTGGGGACAGCCAATAGCTGGCCACCAACAGCTGGCAGCTGGCCTGGAAATCAGTATCCTCCGAGAGAACGTGACCCCGCGGTCAGGCAGGCCCCCGCATCCTCCGGGAGAACGTGAGCCCGCGGTCAGGCAGGCCTTCCACTTTGCTGATATCACTGTCATTCTCCCTTGGGGACCCAGCTCAGCCCCCACATCCCAATCTTGGGCCACTGGGGCCTGGGGATCTGCCTTCTCCAGTCCTGGCAAGGGTCACGTGACCCAAGACCTGGCTAATGACTATTTAGTCAGTTATTCACTGGGCCACAGTGATCGGGTCGGACATGGGTTGTTGACCTCAGTGGGCTTGATGTGAGTCAATCCCGGGACTTTTCCTAGAACTATTGAGAAACGGCTGCTCTGTCCCCTGGGATCACTAAATAGTGGGGCCAGAGTCGCCGGTGACCATCTTGGTCAACACGTAGGGAGAGCCCACCTGAAAAAGGAACCAAGACAGAAAACTGGAGCCAGGAAATGTACAGATGAGCATTAATGGAGCTCCCGGATCCAGCCATGCCTGAAGCCTTGCTCGACCTGGCTATCATGTGAACCGATACGCTGCTTTTTGCATAAGCCAGTCTGGATTGGGTTTCTGTCACCTGTATCCTGGTCTCTCACTCCTTTGACTCAACTTACCCTCCCCAAACTCACATCCTGGACCTCGTCATCTCTCCAAATGGCTCTTTCTCCAAAAGCCACCCTTCTGATGTCCCGCTCTCTACCCACAGGCCCCGCCCCTCCTTTTCTTCCCAGCTTGCTTAGTCGGACTCTTCAGCCCTAGGGACCTGCTGAATGGGATCTAGAGGTCCTGGTCACCCTCCCTGGACCAGCCTGGCCTGACCCTGTCCGTCTGCCAGGGTAGGGCTTGGAGCTGAGCACATCCAGTCCTGAGGCCTCCCTGTCCCAGGCAGTAGACCTTGGGTGATGCAGCCCAGGGCACACGAGCTGTTCTGGTGGCTCCAGCCCGTTGTGAGGCAGCAAAGAGGCCTCGGATCTCCCCACGGCAACCGCTGTTGGGGCCACCCGCAAAATGGGGACTGCCATACTTGCGACAGTATGGGACACCGAAAGGACAGCTCGTATACCAAGGGCCCAAACCCACGGTCATTCATTTGGCACCTGCTGGCTGGGCCCCTGCTTGTCGCAGACTGTGCCAGGCTGGTGGCGGAGGGGACAGAGGCAGGATAGGGACTTGGCCACTTGCAGAGACTGCTTTTAGCGGGTGGGGAAAGCGTGAGGCCTAGAAGTCCGCGGGGCCCAGGTCCCCAGGAGGGGTCACCAGAGGACACTCGGAAAAGGGTACGGGAATACACACGCACCCACATCTGATCGGTCACCAGCACTGTCTGGCACGGTTTGGGGGGCTGTTTAGCAGTTTCTGGAAGGCTCTATCTCTGGGCCTGATGGAGCGTGGAGTCCACAGGCGGGCAAGGAGGCGGAGGCCACCAGCAGGCTGGCCCGGGTGGAACCGCACGCGGACAGACTGGAACCTGCCTTCTGTCCGTGTGGCCTTTTCTTTTAGGATACGACGTTTTCCGAACAGATCACCTACTGGAATGTTCCCTGGGGGGGGGTGACTATTTTGTGACATTTGCTTTCGAGTCTCGTGCACGACAAAACGCGACTCCCTTTGTGTTCCCTTGCTCTCGCCACTGCCGCTCAGGGTTGCAAATGAACAGAACCGGCAAAGCCACGTGGATCGGCCCGTGCTGCGGCCACCGCGCGGGGTGCCGCGCCACTCACCGCAGGGGCCGACCCCGCCCCGCAGCCGGAAGGGAGGCCACGCGGAGGAGGCGGGGAGCGGGGCCCGGGGAGGGGCTGGGGCGGGGACCCCGACCAGGCTCCCGCCGCCCGCCCGGCCCGGCGCGGCGCCGCCCGCTCCCATTAGCGGGCTGGGGCCCGAGCTTCCCTCTGATTGGCGGGAATTCCGATCCCTCATTTGCATAGGGCCCGGGGCCCGCGCCCCCCGCGCGCGGCTGGATCGCGGCCGCCCGGTCCTCCCCTGTCGCCTGCGGCCTGCCCGCGGCCTGGGACGGCGTGTGGCCGGGGGGGAGACTCTCCCTGTCCTGTCCCCACGCTACCTGGGAAGGCCCCTCCGCTTCTCGGCTCCTTCTGTTCCCCCTGGGGGTTCACAGGGGCGGCCTTGCAGGCCCCGCCACGCGGCGTCCACACGGGCGCTTCACTGCGAGCTGCGGTGTCGCCGGCGCATCAACGCCCGTCGGGTCGGGTCGCCGCTGCGGGCGCTGGGCTGGGTGCGCGACAGCTGCTCAGAGTCACTGTGACGGTATCTGCGCCCCTGCTGTTCACACGGGGAGGAAATAAAGGCAAGAGAGTGGCTCCCGCTTTCACGGCACTGACGATCGGGGCGAGGGGACAGGCAGTAGAGACCCCCCCTGCCCCCTATCTAAAGCGACTCCGAGCCCAGAAGGAAAGGCCAGCCCGCAGAACAGGTCACAGGGGGCTGGAGCAGGTGGCCAGGCCGCCCGCAGCCTCAGTTCCAGGCCCCAAAGCCCTTGTCATCCTCAGAGCCCGGGAGTCTCTGCAGACCCCGTGGTCCCTGCAGTAAGGACAGGGCTGGGCCTCCGCACCCCGATCTCCTCCTCGACCCCTCTACACCCAGGTTGGTTTTCAGCTAAAGGATTCAGACAACCTCCAAGTATTAAGAGTGAAGACACTCTGGGAGGCCGAGGCGGGAGGATCGCTCGAGGTCAGGAGTTCGAGACCAGCCTGGGCAAGAGCGAGACCCCCGTCTCTACTAAAAATACAAAATCAGCTGGACAACTAAAAATATATCTATAGAAAAAATTAGCCAGGCAGGGTGGCGCGTGCCTGTAGTCCCAGCTACTCAGGAGGCCGAGGCAGGAGGATCGCTCGAGGTCAGGAGCTCGAGACCAGCCTGAGCAAGAGCGAGACCCTGTCTCTACTAAAAATAGAAAGAAATTGGCCAGACAACTAAAAATACATAGAAAAAATTAGCTGGGCATGGTGGCACGTGCCTGTAGTCCCAGTTACTCAGGAGGCTGAGGCAGGAGGATCGCTCAAGGTTAGGTGTTCGAGACCAGCCTGAGCAAGAGCAGGACCCTGTCTCTAGTAAAAACAGAAATTGGCCAAACAACTAAAAATATAAGAAAAAATTAGCCGGGCATGGTGGCGCATGCCTGTAGTCCCAGCTACTCGGGAGGCCGAGGCAGGAGGATCGCTTGAGCCCAGGAGTTGGAGGTTGCCGTGAGCGAGGCTGACGCCATGGCACTCTAGCCCGGGCGACAGAGCGAGACTCTGTCGCAAAAACAAAACAAAGTGAGAAGAGACACGACAAGGAACCACCCACCCCCAGCCTTTCTGTAGCCTCTTCCTCAGAAAGCCCCAGTGCCCCGTTTGTGACAAAATCCGTTGCTAGGACTGATGCCAGGAGAAAACCGGGTAAGATCCAGAACTCTCCCCACCAGCATCATTTTCCAAAACGGAGGCAGAGGTTTACCAAATGTCATTTACTCAGGAAAAAATACGTTTCAAGAACATCTAACTTCTAACACACAGAAAGCGCCCATCGGCTGCCCGTTCAGGGCTGAGAGCTCCCGGCCGGTCAGCCGGGCTGCAGAGAAGGCCCCACGGGGAAACGGCGCGGGCACAGTGGCCCCATTGGCTGTGCTCAGCCAGCAGTGGCAGCGGCCACCTGTTCTTCCAAGGCTGCCCCCCCCAGCACCCCACTGGGGGCTCCGAGTCACGGCCGCGGTGGCCACTTCCCCGCGAGCGCACAACTGTCAACGAGAACTGTGCCAACTCTTCCTAAACCAGACACACACATACGATGCAAGAAGCTGTCGTCGGCAAGAGCAGGGGCTGCAGGCGACGCCGCCCCCGGTCTCTGAAAGTCCCGTGCGTGCGTGTCACTGGCTGTGAGGCCGCTTGGCCGCAGGCTCCTCCTCCTCCTCCTCCTCCTCCTCGTCGTCTTCCCGCAACAGCCACCGTCTCAGGAGCCCCGCCTCGCCTCTCCTGGGCCGGAACGGGCTCTTCTGCAAGAACTGGCTGGACCACTGCAGCGCGCCTGACTCGTCCCTCTCGGGGGTTTTTGGAGCTTCCTTTTTGGGTGACTCGGTGGCCAGCCACTGCAGCATCTTCTGGCTGCTGCCACTCGGCTTGAGCTCCTAGGAGAGAGAAGAAGGGCTCAAAGCGTCCACCTCGAGCTTTCGGGGAGAGGCCAACAGCGCTAAGGGGGAGACGCAAGGGAAGAGGCCTTAGGTACTGACCCGGGGCCCGGAAAATGTCACCCAGGGCCTAGATGCCAGGGGTGGGAAGAGAAGAGGGTGCCGCTCCAAGGGGCGGGGTAGGAGCTCTTCGAGAAGGTTTTGCAGAGGAATGTGCGCGGCCGGAGAAGAGAACCGAAGGGCGTTCCAAACACGCGGGGAATGAAGCGTTCTTGGGGGAAGATAATGTCATTCGGCGTGACCGGGGCGGTGTCGGGGGATGGAGGAGGACGGACGAGCTTCCGACAGACGCCACGATCGGGGGGATGACAGGCTGAACTGTCTGCACGACCTCTCCCCAAGCGCTTCCCCACACACCACACCCCAACGCCGAACTGAAAGTTTCGGAATTAGCGCGTTGCCGCCTCTCCAAAACATGGCTTGTTTGGGAGTCAAGACCGTGGCGGAAATGGGGCCACGTCTAGTGCGAAATGGACACGGGCTGAGTATCCAAAATGCGCCGAAAGCTGAAACTTTTTCAACGCTCACAGGACACTCAAAGGAAATGCTCGCGGGAGCATCGCGAGGACTTCAGATTTTTGGATTTCGCAATGTCAGCTGGTAAGTATACGAGGCAGATATCCCCAAATCCCCCAAAAATCCGAAATCCAAAACACTTCTGGGCCGGGCGCGGTGGCTCACGCCTGTCATCCCAGCACGATGGGAGGCTGAGGCGGGAGGATCGCTCGAGGTCAGGAGTTCGAGACCAGCCTGAGCAACAGCGAGACCCCGTCTCTACTAAAAAAAAAAATAGAAAGAAATTAA